TTCTCGCTTCCTTCTCACATCCTCCTCCCTCTAGCCTTCTCACTTGCCCTGCCATGCCATGCCATGCTGTTTCCTTCCCGCTATCCCTTTCTCCCCTCTCCTCCCCCTCTCCTCCTCCTCACTATGTGGTCATCGACGATCAGCAAACACAAACAGCCGGCTCATCGTTATCGTTCATTCCTGGTACTCAATAAGAGGTAAAGCACTCGCCGCTTGCTTCTGCAGCGCCTTCCATCCTCCTTTAGGCGGCAGATCTGACACATCCCGTGCTACGAAAACGCCATAGCCGTCCGGTCCATCAATCCACCATTGATCATCCTGCTTGTTCCTGTAGATGTAGCTCCCGTTGTCATGCTCGAACCAGGACTTGTTCTCATCTGCCAGCCGTCGCCATGTCGCTGAGACGTCCCAGTTGTTCTCGTCGCAAACTTTCTTGAAGGCGGAGGGGATGGAGGCGACTGGGCGTCTCTGGTAAACTCCGTTTACTGCAGCAACTCCCGACTGCTGGATGACAACTCGTGCTGCCTGCATCGCTCCTGACATGCAGACGCTGCTGGTGTGAAGGGATCCCAAGGTACAAGTGAACAGACAGATGGCAAGGAGTCGCGATGCCATCAAAACATGCTCCTGGACGACACGACACATGTCAGTGACATCTCACATTCGCTTGTTTCGGAAGGACATATTCAGCGAGGTTTCAGATTACAAGGTTTCAAGAAAACTTTCTACACATCCAGTTTTGCTTTTGTAAGATACTCGTATTCAAATTCCTCTTATTTTCTCTCCATCGTATTGGGACATAGTTGCATGTTCCTGCTCTACGAGTATTCCTTTCATCTCAACCTCTCGAACAAGATCTTCTATCCCCTCATCTCAATGTCGCATCTTCTGTCCCTTCTTGTTTCATGATGCTGTTTTCTCCTCCTCCTCCTCCTCCTCCTCCTCTCCTCCTCCTCACTCCCTCCCTCCTCCCTTCATACCTCGTTCCCTCTTATGCGTCAAACTTCACCCTCATCCCCGCTTAAACCCATCAAGTCAGGTTCGGCGTTCGGCCGGGGTTCGGTCCCATCTCGGAGTCGGGCCGGAGATTTATGTGGGCGGTATGAGGGACAAATAACACATTGGCTGGGTATTAGCATACTTTAGTTGTATTACATATCATTTAGTAGATATATCATCTATTTTAATGAGTAATTAGCTTATTGTCCTGGCGTCACTGGAATCTGTTTACCCAACCAGTACCTTATCGGATAACCCCTACCCCCTCCAGGGGAACCACCATTCAGTCCACCACCCCCTTTATTTGCGTCCAATCTAGGTAGATCACCCCATCAACAGTTTTACTACCCCACTTCATCAGTGAATCCAATTTTTTACCCCTCCTTTCGACCTTGAACTACCCTCCTTTTAACCGGTGCACCTACCCGTATCAGCTCGATCACCTAGGCGAGTTCAGAGTAAAAGAAGGTAGGTAGGGGTAGTCAGTACCCCTACCCTTAAAAAGTCCTTAAATTCCTTTGTGTCATTCAATGACCCCGTGTAATGAGCTTTTCAATGAGGGGTGGGGGTGGATTTTGCCAGGGTAAACGGGGACGAGCGGGTCGCTTAAAAGGAAGGGGGCGGCCATGGCGGCGCCGTTCGTTTTGGCGATGGCGATGGCGATGGCGATGGCGGGACTCGAGGTGAGAATGGTTGTGTAGAGAAGCAAGATGAAGGTCAATGATGAGATGTTGGTGTTGAGAGAAGAATCAAAGCATGGCGCGTGAATGAGTTGATAAGATTGCCTGTATGAAATCAGAAACTTGCTAGTCGCGTGCGAGAGAACGAATGAATTAGGGTGATGCAGGGCGTACTTTACATCATCTTACATCTTTTACATCATTCAAAACCAGTTGATGAAATTGTTTTCTGTGATGCACGAGCAAAATGTTTCTACCATGCACGACAGGACAGCTAGATCGCCTGGAATCATGTGTGCATGCGAATGTTTTGTATGTCACGAATGCTTGGTCGATGTAAGCTAAACGTACATGCCTGTCATGTTTCATGGTTGCCTAGAGAAAGAGATTGTCCATTCAAGATGCTTCTTATCCCTGACGCACCACAGATGTGCTCTGCTTGGAGCCCGGTATCCCCAGCGCTTACCGGGATGCGAATGCCGCTTGCTCGGTTTCATTCGTCACCTATCGCTGTGAAGAAGACAGCAAGCCGTCTTGTCCTCCGCACTTCTGCTTCTGCTGTTGATGCCCAGCAAGCTCAACCGGCGCAGGTAGTACGTGGGTGG